TACAAAGAAGGCAAGACAGCACCTTCTTTCCATGGACAGTTGAAAAAAGTTTGTTTATGTTCAACTGTCTTTACTACATTTTACAGGTGCGCTACTGAGAGTGCGCTCATGTGCACTGTGTGGCATTGCAGTGCCGTTTGGCAGCAGCTTGTTGTCTGACTGGAAGTCGTTACAGGGGGTGATCATGCCAGCCAAGTCCATCATTGGAATACCACTTCCCTCTATTGTGGACATTTTTACAACTCACTGTCTCAGGAAGGGGAAGGTATTGCCAAGGACAACAATCATCCTGGTTTCTCCCTCTGGCAAGCATTATAGGAGCATAAATCCATGGACCTCCATATTCAGAGAGAGTTTCTTCCCACAAACTGTCAGATTACTGAACTCTACCCCCTACCACTGACTAAACTCGTCTATATTTCTACTCACACTGATAGGTTGTTTTCTCTTCTCACACTGCTTAACTTGCTTTTTTAAAGTTGTGTGTTATTTTACTTGTTGTTGCTGCTGTTCTGTGTATTTTCTGGTGACTGTCTTTGTATCGGAGTATACATGCAAATTAGCATTTCATTGCATTTGTGCATATGACAAATAAACTGAACTGAAGTAAGAAAAAAATGCTGCAACTCACCCTTTCCAGGGTTCTTTGGGGGAACTGCTGGTTGCTTGGTAGGATGGGGATCTAAATCAAAAGTTTTTGACAAGAACATAATGCATAACAAAAGCTGAAGGATTCTATGAGTGAAGTACTGTTTTTATTTTATTTAATACTACTGATTCTGTTTTGGCTTCCTTTACATTATAAAGACAACATGACATGGAATAAGATTCCAAATTAAAAAACAAGCATGTCACTATTAGTTATTCAATGATTTTATCATAGACTAAAGTATTAAAGGTACAGTCAAGGATATGCTCTGTATGTACAGTATAATATGTCATAGGAACTTACCTGGACCTCCTAAAGCATCACCGAGATCGAATTCATCTGGAACAAAAAATGTGATTAGAGAAACCTCAGACTCAAATTAGAGTAGAGGGTTAGTCCTTTTTCTACTACTGACATTTTTATACATTTGACTATTTCATTATGGCATTGTTTCATTACAAATACTTACCTCCAGAAGGTTTCTTTGGTTTAGGAGTCACTGGAGGCTTAGTGGGACCTGAAACAAAAAGTGTTTTGTATGATGAACTTCACAAAATGTTTTTCACATAGTCTGAAAGCTGACCCCAAAACTGTCTGCACTTTCAATGCTTGTTCATTAGTGAATTAATGTCTCCTGATAGGTATTAGAGAAACCATAGAGAAAAGGTTTCCAGGAAGAGATTAAATCATTGCCACAAAAAAAAATGATTTCTTACTGGCCCCTTTTCATGACACACTTTAAAGAAATAAAATATTACATTTACGTCAAGGAAATAAGTTATGTAAAATTTGATCAAAGGCAAAAATGCATTGTGGATCTAGGCTTCTGGAATTTAGAAGAGCTGGAACATTTCAACACAAATTAAAACAGAAATAAAAGGGGTACAGTAGCTGTAGTAAAAGATTACTACCCAAAACCCATGAGAACCAGATCAAGGAACATCCAAACTTTCATAAAAGTAGAGCCAGAATTACATTGAGCAGAACTTACCTGGCATATCAAAAACATCTCCAAGGTTAAAGTCACCTGGAGAAAAAGCAGACAAGTATACAACTGAAACACCTATCTGTATATTAACCTGCAGCACAATACAGGTCGTTCTCAATTTACATGCTCTTAATTTGCACTTATTCGGTTTAACACACCTCAAAAATATAGATCGTTTATCAATTTAGGGCCATTCAGTTCTCACTTTAACACACTTGGCCACAGTCTGCAATGAGTAACTTGATAGGAGTGCTACAAACAATGGCACATGCATTTTTTTCCACTACATTAAAAAGTTATTAGAAAAGACATCTGGAAAAGTACCTGTAACTAAATCTCACTAAAGCTGTAATGGATGGTAAGACCTTTGTGAAGAACAAGCAGATAACTAACATTTTTACTCATTTGTCACACTACTATGATCCAGCCATCCGTTTTCTAACAGATTCATCCAATTCAGGGCCGCGGGGGAGCCGGAGCCTGTCCCGGCAAGCAACGGGCTGGGTAGATGCTAGACAGGATGCCAGTCCTTCACAGTGCAGACACAGACACAAGCACACACACTCATACCAGGGCTAATTTTTCCCAGAAGCCAGTTAACCTACTAGTACATCTTTGGACTGTGGGAGGAAACTATAGTGCCAGAAGGAAACCCATGCAAACATGGGAGAACACAAACTCCAGGCAGATAGCACCCCAGGAACTGAAGCCAGGACCCAACACTGGGGCAGCAATGCTACACTAATCAGATGTTACAGCAAAAGAAAGTATAATAGTTCATAATGATAGATTCACTTTGCCTCACTTTGTTTCTTTGCCTTTTTTGCAATAATTCTCAATGGTAATTTATACATACTTCTGAGAGTAGTTTTCAAAGGTGTTAAAGGAGAGTATTTTCTGCAAATTAATACTGCATATAAAACCCATATGCCTTCTATTAGTAATACATTTTTTGAAATGGGATTATTCATATGAAATTTCTTTCTAATAGATATTTTTCTAAAGACAAAATGCTGAAACTCACCAGTACCAGTGTCCTTTGGTGGTTTTGGTTTAGGTTTTGCAGTAACTGGATCTATAATTGTAGGTTTTAAGGAAAAACAACAAATGAAATGAAGAAAATAACGTATTTGCAACAACTAGAATGCTTAACAATTTTTTTTAATTAGATTTACTAGATTTATAAAAACAACAAATCACCTAAATTGTAATTTAAAACTTGAGAAGTAATGAAAGTCAAACCAAAGTAAACTTTAGAACAAAGATGAAAGTGTTTAATTAAAACTTACCTGAACCACCTAAAGCATCTGAAAGATCAAAACCATCTGGAAAAAAAACATATTAATTAAAAACTCAGGCACAGTGTAAAGTATATAATAAGAGTCAGGGTCTGATCCCAGGAAGCACTGGAAAAGCACTTTCTATCCAGCATTAGAGAATCAAAGAGCAAACCCATATGAAAGATGTGGAATTAGAGTCTGGGATAAACCTGCTGTCAATGATCACAGATTTAACTTTTCTGTTACTTTCAGGATGGTGTTTGCTCCATGGTCTATCTATTATTGAGTTTAGCTAGAACTGTAATTTGAGAATTTGGTTACCTTTCATAAAGAGTTCATAAATTCAAAAGCACAGGACCCATGAACCATTTATTCTGGAATATAAGTGTAGTTCTGATTCCAGAGGGTCCACAAGTTGTGTGGGTGATCAGTACCCACCCCCTCTCTTGTACACCTCCATTCTGATACAGAACAGCAGTATATCTGAATACAAGGTCCATTTCTCCTTAGCTTTTTATGAAATGGAAAAGGTGATTCTTTTTTTCCTTTATGATCCAGCAGTTCTTTACAAAAAAAGGTTGTTGACAAAAAACAAGCAGCTCTGCTTCTGAACTGTGCCACAATTATGATCAGGGAGGATCACTGGATTACAGCACTGAAAATGTGATTTTCTACACACTTTCTGCTTACGCACATATGCCAAAAACAAAATCTGAAAATAGACAAAGTTCGCTAAACTGTATAACCTTACAGTGATAAGGATGGTTATAGGAACTTTGGTTTTAATACCTGTTTCAAACATATTTTTCCAATCATGTTTAGATTGATCACAAGGTGTGACCAATTCCAAATGTGTTTTCTCTCTGCTGCAGATATTTCAGATAATGAGCAGTCTTTTCTAAAGACCGTCCCTTAGAATATGGTCATTCAGTGACCAAAACCTGATTTTGTCATGACCATCTTTTCATTTTTCCTGAAATTCAGCACATACAGTACATTTGGCCATGTCACATGGAAGTTTTAATGCAAAATTTCACAATAATATAGTTTTGAGATCTACGATGGACTGGCGTCCCAGTCTAAGGTGTACCCCGCCTTGTGCCTTTTGTTTGCCGAGATAGGATCTCTCCTGCGACCCAATAATCCATGGATTAATGGATTTTGTGATACAGCCATTTAAAGGGGTTGTTTTTGAGCATTTTTGTACCTACAGAGGGTTAATCTAAGACATTGTAACACCTACACACACTACATACATAATCTTTATGTCTTTTTAAAACAATGACCAGTTATCGTTAGAAAAAGACACACCTGGTTAAACTGGAAACTGTATTTGTGGTACTTTATAACCAATTGATTTGGCTTACAGTTTTATCCAAAAGCAACCTACAATTGCACTAATTTCTACTGTTGGGTATTTTATGTTGAGAATTTGGGTGTAAAGTAATTTGATCAAGGGTCTCAGCAGGGATTTGAACCCACTACGTTCCACAGCCTGGACCCTGACCGCAGTTCCACACTTCTATCCTGAAATGTTTTTTTACAACATAATATAGCAAACATCCACAAACTAACACTTCAAGCTGCTTACAGCTAGTGTTTCCTTTGACTCGTGGTCACCAAGATCCCAGCGTGAATTTGGCTGGTCTGCTGCTTGCAGACATTCTTTGGACGCTTGTCTCTTATTAGGGTGTCTCCAATAAAGACATCTGAAATATCAGCAAGATTGAGTCAAATTGAAGCTAAAAAAACCAACATGAAAATAATCTCAGCTGCCACCATTTCAGCTACTGACCGACTGTGCCACAGATATGATCTGATGAAAATGCTTCAAATATTAAGGCTCTTGCCAAAAAGTAGGACCATTCATGAAATACATAAAGAGACTGGAGATAATTCCATGGTTACAAAAGCCACAATCTGGACTGGAAAGGGGATTCTATATACTGCAGATTCCTTCATCATTTGCAATAGAGAGAAGATACATATCCAGAATCAAACTCATCACACCAATATCAGTGTGACTTTACACAAAATCCCTTGTCTCATATTTTTTCTTTGTGAGCTTCAGTGAATTTGGACCACGCTGAATAGGGACAGTCCAGCCTGGATGCCGCTGTTTAAAGCAGGGCATTTTTCAAATTCTTTTTTTTTTGTTTGGTTTTCGCTAGACTCACACCCGTGTCTCTGCCCCCTCAGACAGGTCATTGGCTTTGACCTGTGGCAAGTGTTTGCCACAAACAAGTGTTTGCCACGGCTCTTCCCACTCCCACATTCTCAAATTCAATATTAAACTGCATGCCGAATAGAAGATAACACAGCTAGGAAGATAATCCACTGTCTAAAGGGTGCACAACAGACAGATGGTAGAATTTGATAGATCCTTAGGTACATTATTAATTCATATAAGAATACAATTCAACACCTGTTAATACTGTTTGTAGTGTAAGTGCCTATAATTAAAGGCTGCGCTTCCACAACAGCAACTGCATCAGTTCTGGAAGCAAACGTTCCAACAACACATTGTAATTCGTCAAATTGAACTAAAAACACAACTTGCAACTAGAACTACCAGAGAATGGTTAACTGTGACAAACCACATTTCTCATTACAGACATTGTAGTGCATTGCCACTACTTACCAGTCTACATTTACATAAACCTACGCCCAAAATTTTTAGGTTTCTGTATTTTATGTAAATTTGTGGTTTAGAATGTATCTTAATTCTTCATCTTATAAATATTCTTTTATGTCCTTCTATCAAGGACCTCAGAACCATTGGTACTTGTATTAGTTCTATGAAATGATAAACTATGCTCATGTCACAGGAAATGCTAGCCTTTAGGAAGGAAACTGTGACTACTTCAAAGCTAGAGCATACAGTAAGTCATCTTTACTTTAACTTGACTAAAAACGTCTTCCGGTTAAATTTAACCCTTTTATTCAAGCCCCTATGAATCTGCTAAAGTGGCTTCAGATTAAACTAATCCTCCCTGCATTATACCACACGCAAGTTTATTCACAGCTTCTGCAGATCAGGCACATTGTGAGTCACAACATAGAAACCCAGCCACTACAGCATGAAAAACAAGAAAACAACCCATGCCACAGGCAAGTACAAAGTCTTAAATAAAGTATATGGAAATCTACAGGAGTAGATGTTTATTGAAAAAGAAACATTTATTACAAAATAAAGTGGCAGCTTTTTTCCCAGGTTAACAACAATGTTTACTAATTTACAGTAAATTACAGCTTAGCTAATAGTAATTATAAATGGAACTGTATGAAAATCAACAGAAATTAACATAAGGTTAAAGACATACTTTCCAGATCTTAAACCTAACACTTCCATAACCCTAACTCCACTACCTTACAAGTGCAATAATATAAAAAGATTCCATTTACATATTTTACAGTTCAAATTAAAAATGTTTTTTTATCATTTAAGACAAAGTTGTTCAATTTTAAGCCTCTGTAGGTCTTTGTTCAAGAACATTTCAGGTTTTCAAATGAAGACTCCTGAACTAGAATGCCTGACTAGTCTTCATTAGTCATATACTGTAACTGTTTACAATCACGTTGTCAAAGCAATGTTGTCAATAACCACTCCCCGTCCCAAACTAAGAATTCACTTCTCTCAATTTGTGTAAGTCTTAAATCTAAAGATGCAAAATGCAACTATGCAAAACTATAAATGAATCCTGTGCCCTCATACACTACATTACACAAAGTTAGCTTTCAAACAGTCTGCCTGTGGTCGACCATGACCCACTTTTCTCAATGTACAGAAACTTCTGCAGGAAGAAGCAAGTGAAATAGTCACGCGAGCCGGAAATATGTAGTACACAGAAGAAAAAAAAATACAGTTAGATTATGTAAAACTGTCCTGTGATTAATAAAAACCGTGATTGCTGGATGTTTTCTGTTAAAGACTTCAATATATACAGTCATTGTACTGCTTTTGTGCAGCTTGATGTTCAGAGGTTTTACAAGGGAAACATAAGGACTTTAGACATTTATTAAATTTATTATTAAAAAGGACAACTCAGGAGTACCTTACTTGTCCTTTCACATGACAGTTAACACTCATCTAACTCAATACTGAACCAAACTAGCACAGGTAGCAGTGAACATTTGTGCTAGTGCAACTCCATTTCTTAGAAACAAATACGAAAATATTAACTGTTAAACATGTTATGCAGCTGCTTTATCCCGTTCTTCTTGCATTATTTAAAATACTGTTGTCAGCTATCCCTAAGTATGCTCCTAAGAGCTTCCATGCTCAAACAATTCTTATAATAAGAGCTTCCGTTCTCCAGCACTGTAAACAGCACATGATGGTGACCATCTTCTGCCAGGTTAGCACCCACATTTAAACCATCAACAGCTTCAAGCTGAAGGGCAAACTTGCTCTGTTCAAATCCTGATTTGAATTATCTAAAGTAAACAAGGAATGAAAATATTATGTATCTGCATTAATGGCATCTGTGCCTAAATTGTCACGAACCGCACTTTGTCACACAAGCACCATCGCATTCCCACGTGCAGCAAGCACTCACGCCCTAATTAAGCTTACACTCTTTTTCCGATTTAAAGCCCCCCTTCACATCTTGCCCTAATCTCGCTATTGAGGACTTCTCGAGAAGAGCTTACCCTACGTACCATTGTTGTTCTACTTACTCGGCTTTTGACTTTTGCTCACAAACCTCGGACTGCTCCTTGCCCAGCGATTCGGACACCTTCTCTCGATTACTAAGATTCAACCCCCTGACATTAATTTACACTTCAATCTAAATGTTGAATTGTATTCACTTTTAGGACTGAAAACAATATCTAACAAACTTTGCCTGTGACACCTGATCACCTGGGAAGCAATCAATTGAGTTCACATGGAGAGCTAACCCAACAATATTTGTTTCAATACAAATGCACACAAGAAGAACACCTGATAGAAAATACTATAAAATTGATAGAAATTATGCACGTTACGACATATTTAGGGTTTAATCTATTATATTCTATAACTAATTCTGGTTCTCTTTCTA